GGGGGTCAGTATTTTCCCCCATAGTTCTCCTCAGGGTCACGGGAGGACATATACCCTGTTTCCCCGAAAATAAGACCTAGTACTGTTTTTGGGAATTGCTAAAATATAAGACCTACCCCGAAAATAAGACCTAGTTGTGACCATTCCCAGGGCCGGCGGTGGCATAAGGGGGAACTTGAAGAGCCGCGGGAGAGAATTAGTGGTGCCAAGGAAGCCGGCGCTAGAGGAAACAAGGCGGCAGTGGATGGAGCAGAGCTGCATAAGCCGACGCCTCCTCTATAGCGCCGGCTCCTGTCACAGGCGGAGTGATACCAAATGCGCTCCGCCTGTGAGGAATCCATTGTGAAAGCGCGCTTCGCCCATTCTGGCCAGCGATTGGTTAGCAAGTTGCTCTTGGAAAGGTACAGCACCCTCGATTGCCCCGATCGCCATATTTTTGTACATGAATAAGTGCGGATTGTTGTACATAGGTCACCTCATAGTTCTCCTTTAAATCATCGATCATTAACCACTTCAAGACCAGGTGTTACACCCCCTTCCTGTCCCGGCCATGTTTCAGTGTTTAGCGCTGTGTTACTTTGGCTGACGTTTATTCCGTCAAGCAACGCTGTACTGACATGAATTTTATACCATTTTTTAGGGACAGATAGAGCTTTATTTTGGTGGTATTTAATCGCCACTGGGGGGGTTTATTTTTTATTATAATTAGGAAAAATGACAGAAATTTTTTTTGGTAAAAATATAAAAGTCGGGTCACGTCGGGTAAATAGACACCAAACATGTCAAGCTTTAAAATTGCGCGCACCCGCGAAATCGCAGGGGGGGCACCGATCGGCACCCCATACACGCGATCCGCCGGCTCTAAAGCCGGCGGATCGCTTGTATGGTATCAGGCATCGCTGCCTGTTTTTAATAAAAGGCAAATTCCAGCTCGCGCGCGTGTCTGAGCGGACGTCTAAAGATGCCCGCTCAGATCTAGAGAGCTCCGGGCTGGCCGTTTTTCTACTACGGCCGGCCCGGAGGCAGTTAAATTGTATCTTTGGTCAAAAAATAAATATGAATTTCTATAAGTTCTCTCCCGCTCCTAATAACCAGACCCGTCTAGAAGTTTATGAACTTAATTATTGAAGATCCCCATAGGAAGGACCTCCTCCAAGCGCTGACACCATTTCACTCAGCCCTGTGTATATAATACATATATAATAAAAGTGAATGTGCACTTCCTTGTGTCACCCGCCTCCTGTCCAAACTACAATTCATCATCTGAACAATGTAATGTTATCATTGCTTGCTGGATGCAATGCAGGAGGGGGACATGTAGTCTTGAGAACTCAACATCACATCAAGCAGCAGGGAAAGAGATGCAAAGCACACGGGGATTTTAGGAAGTTGTTGGAAGTCAGGGATTTGATTTCCTCTAAGCTTTCATTGTACTATCAAAAACAACTTCAGTATGTATTCCTATTACAATGCTGATGTTATAGCAGGATAGGATGTGCTGAGACTTTACAACTTCTTCAAGCTCTATGACAGGGGCGTAACTAGAAATCACAGGGCCCCATAGCAAAATTTTGTATGGGGCCCCGTGATTTCTAGTTATACCCCTTGCAGAGCCCACTTGGGATCCCATCTGAGGGTGAACCTGCAGAGCCCACCATAGACTCTCTATGGTGGGCTCTGCAGGGTCACCCTCAGGTGGGCTGGCCGCACTCCTTACCTGTCCGCCTCCTCTTCCTCCACGGTCGCTGATGGGCCCCGCCTCCTCCTCCGTTGCCGGGACCGACTCCTTCTTCGTCACCGGGCCCCGCCTCCTCCCCTGCTGCCGACCATGAGCCCCACCTCCTCCTGCACCGCCGCTGCTGGCTCTCATTGACTCTGTGTAGAGGAACGCGCTGCTGCACTGATTACTGTCAGTGATCTGAACAGCGTCGTGTTCGTCTTCAGCCGCCAGTGAAAGCCGCCAGCAGAGGATCCCATACCGACCCAGGCGGCCCGCACGGCATCTGGCCGGGCCCCACTGTTCCCCCGGGACCCATAGCGGCCGCCTAGATCGCTATGGTGATCGTTACGCCACTGCTCTATGAATGTGAGCACTGTAAAGATTATGGAGTAGTGACCTTCAATTTGAGTAGTCCACTATTATCTTGGCGGTTGGTATGTCCCATGTTGGTGGGTTGAAGGGCATGGATAGGAAATGACCTTCTACAAACAGAATCCGCTGTGTAGTAGGAATAAAACTGGGTAAGGAAGAGCCATGCTCTACTAATAATAAGCTGAGGTCAAGGAAGGCAGTTCATTGTAAACCATCTGAAACAATGGCAAGACTGAGCACAGTAACAAGACACGGGGCGGTCTGACTAAATCAAACATGTTTCTTGCAGGCACAAATTTTCAAGGTGTTTCCAGAAATGTTGACCGGGCTCTTCTGGGGAAACTACAAGGAAACAGGCAACGTTCAGGGAGACAGGTGGTTCCAGTTGTGTGGCCCCCGGCTGTTCTGCAGATGCACAAAGAAACAGGCGAGGTCAGCCAAGGAAACCTAGTACCTAGTGCAAAGAATAATAAAAGACGTTAATGCCGACTTCCCTTTGCACTTGGAAGATATCCAGTGGCACCATCATCTTAAACCTGGCACCCATCTGCAGTCCGAAGAAGTCTATTCAGAAGTGGTCTTCATGGAAGCTTTGTAGCTAAAAAAAACTATACCTGTGATGTGAAAACAAGGCCAAGCTACACTATATTGCCAAAAGTATTGGGCCCCTCCCCCTCCTAATCATGTGATTCAGGTGTTCCAATCCCCTCCATGGCCCCCGGTGTATGGGATGAGGCACCTCGGCATGCAGACGCTTCTACAGACATTGGTGAGAGAACGGGTCGCTCTCAGGAGCTCAGTGACTACAAGCGTGGTGCCGTGATAGGTTGTCACCTGTGCAATAAGTCCGTCCGTGACATTTCCCGGCTACTAAATATTCCGCGGTCGCCTGTTACTGGGATTATAACAGGAAGGAGCCCACTGGAGTATGGTAAGTAATACTCCTTATGCCTGCACCCCTAGACTTAAAAAGCAGTTAACCCTTGCAGTGCAGAGGGAAAGGATGGGGGGTCTTGGGGCACTGCAAGGGTTTTTTTTGGGGGGGGGGGATCCATAGTTGTGCTATAAAGTAACATAGTATAGAATTCCAGTAATCGTAGAGTTGGCCCTTTCTACTCAATTTTCCTGTCAACTGACAGATTAGCTTAGAGCATCTCCCTGACGGCCCGTCCTCCTCCGCAGGTCCCTCACATGGAGACCTTATTAGGGAAATAAACAATGATGTCATTGCAAATGAAAGGCCTTTCAAAATACTGAAATCAGGGAAAACCAGGAACTCATTCTCTCAGCAGCAGCGCCAGGACCGCTGGAGACCAGTAAATGGTGTAGAATGACCTATGCCCC